TCAGATCTGAAAATCGTCTTCATCGATTTTGTGAAGTATGATCGATTTGAAGCTCAGATTTCAAATTTTTACGTATGATACTATATAAGGGCAATATTGTGATAAAAAAAATTAGAAATTATAAAATGTCCTTATTAAGTTAAGCATTTCTTACTCAGAGACTTTTTGAAAGAAAATTAATTGGGTTATCCTTTACCCTAATAAAAAGGCCCAAAAGGGGGGTTCCATCAAAAATCCCTAGATACATGTAATCCTTTCAGCAAAAAGCATTTAATAAGTGTAAAAAATAAATGATAAGTGTAATTTGAAATATAAATTAGGGCAAATTTCACTTTACCCTCTCATGATTTGATTTATGTGCGGACCCCTTGTCATTTGAAAATACATAACCTCCATGTGGTTTGTGAACTTTATCTTTGTTGATTTTATTGAAACTTACATTTATGGTAATGTGTGATTGAATTTATTTACGAAATCTTTCAATTTATACACAAAATCTTTCAATTTATAATGATGTCAATATATTTATTTAAAAAATATAATGTGTGATTGAATTTAATTATGGAATGTTTTAATTTTTTTTTAATGAGCCAGGATTCTCTCTAGCCTAAGAAGATTACTCGATATACTTTAAAAAGTAAATGGTTTGGATTATTAAAATGGGCCATGAAATGGACCCAATAAGCTGTGCTCCGTAAGGGATAGATATGGTGCATAAATGATGGGAGGAATGTGCTAGAAAGTTGTTTTGAGCAGAAAATTTATTTTGATTGAAGTAAATCCAACCGTCAATTATATAGATGGTTTTTTTTTTAATCAAATTATATAGATGGGTTAATCTCATCCGTTTTAATCAAATTGTATTAGTGAGACATTTTCAAAAATTATTCCCTTTGATTAGATAGATAATTGTGTCAATTATTCCATCAAATGGAAAATATAGTAGTAACAATACATAATGATTGTCAATTGAAACAACAAAATGTAGAAAAATAAAAAAATAAAAAACTTTCTAATATTATATATGAATTAAAAAAAAAAACCAATTAGGGTATATTGAGTCAATTATAATAATTTATAGAACAAATTGTAATTTTTCATGAATTAAAGGATAAATTACAATGACCTCCAATAAGGTTATAAACAAGGGTTAATTGGTAATAGATCCAATATAAGGAGGGCTAACGACACTAGGTCTAAGAGATTTTTTTTTTTGTTTGTTGATGAGAGGTCTACACTTTGTGAAATAGTTTGATGAGAAATTCTAGAAAATATTTTATTTTTAATTTTACCCATTGACTTTTTTTTATTTGTTTGACTTTTCGTTAACTACTTGTTGAAATTATTTTTATTTGTTGAAATTTTTTATCTATTAAAATTTCTATTTGTTTAAATTTTTTATCTGTTCAAAAATTTTATCTATTTAAATTTTTTATCTATTGAAAATATCTGTTTAATTTTTTTGAAATTGTTGAAATCTTTGACCAACAACAACAACAACTAATTTTAGATTCCTGAATTGGGAAGAGTAGACACCTCCCCCCAACAAAAAAACAACAACTAATTTTAGATTCGTGAATTGGGAAGAATAGACACCTCCCCCCAACCAAAAAAAAAAAAAAATGATAAACCCAACCGTATCTGATCATCTATCTGCCACTATAGTAGGATCATGTAACCAAAACTTTTCATTACCTTTTCTTTTCCCCTGAGAAATTCAAAATTTAAACATAGCTCTCTCTCTGTCTCTCTCTCTCTCATGCACACACATACATGAAAGCATGCATGTTTCTGTGCTTGTGAACTTGATTTTTTTCACTGAAAAAAAAGAGGAAATTTTTTTTCTGTTCAACTTTTTTACTAAATTCTATCTATCTATGTTCAAACCTTTCTCTATCTATCTATTATCTTTTTCTCTCATCTGTTCTAACACAAGAACAAAAAAAATGTTAATCTATTTGCAAATAGCTGTTTATCAATTTTCACAACATACAAACAGAAATTTGCAATGGATCTAAAAAAAACAACCAGATAAAAAAACTAATCGTTTGCTCTCAAATCAACATCAACAACAACAACAACAACTAGATTAACAACAAAAACAAGAACTTAAACCCCAAATCCAAATGAGCAAAACAATCATCTCTCGAATGAGCACCAGAACAGCCCCTTGATCGTCACGGTCAACATGTTTTTGTCGTTAGATCTGGACATCGGAGTAGTGTTATCTGTTCAACAACAACAAAGTATTATCTGTTGACGGTTTCCTCCAAACACCACTGGATTGTGGCTTCTTCTTCAATTGTTTAATTGTTCATCCAATAGATCTAACCCCAGTTTAACAATCACAATACTCATGAAGTAACCTAAATATGTGTATATCTATATAACCCTACCTTGTATGTAGATTCCACATCTCCATTCAAACATTTCAAATTGATAATCTTTTTTCAAACTTTTTTCTTGATCGAACTTGGAACGGTGGCATTTCGAGTCAAATTCCTTCGTTAAAAACAAGAGGGTTTCGGCACGTCACCGCTGCAGTCGTCGCTCTGGTCGCCGAATAGGGTTCGCTACTCTGGCAAGGTAATCACAAGTTAGGCAAATTTCACCGGCGTCAGATTTGGTGGTCATGACCTTGAGCCTCCCAGCCGAAACCTCGAACACATCGCGATTGACTTTCGTGGCGCTGTGAACGATCAGATCTTGAAACCTGCTGTTAGGGAAAATATATGATTCCCCACAAGTAAATCAATTAATGGGAATAAAAACCAAAGCGGAAAAATTAAATCAAAAGCAACACAAGAATTTTACGTGGTTCCCTCAGTGTGAGGTACGCCCATGGGATCGAAATCCGATTCCACTATCAACCAAATAGTTTCCAAACGATTACAAATGAGACACAAATGGACTCACAAATCACCCTTAGGTGAATTCCAAATAATCAAAAATAAATAAGAGGAAAGACCTTACCAAATAAATGAACCAAAATCTTCAGAACTAGAGTTGTAAAAGACCCAAAATAATTAACCCAAATCAATCCATACGCTGCCGCTAAATCCAAAATAAACTTCCAACACTACAAGAATTTACACATTTGCCGACCACTTTTGCCGACCAAAAAAATTTTGGTCGCAAAAAAATGACATTTGCATACCAAATATTAATTAGTCGTGAATGATCAATATTTTTGGCGACCAAATATGAGTTGGTCGCAGAAGGTCACATTTTGGCGACCAAAAATGAGTTAGTCGCAGAAATTGGTATGCTTTTGGCGACCAACTACAAATTTGGTCGCGGAAGGTTACATTTTGGCGACCAAAAAAAATTGGTCGCCAAATTAATACTTTTAGTGACTAATATTTTAGTCGTCGTTGATTGAGATTTGGCGACTAAAAAAGTTTGTTGGCGAAGGTACCTTTTCTACGACTAATATGGTGTTTTGGTCACCAAAAGTTTGAGAGGGAAATTTGGCGACAAAAAAAATTTGGTCGCCAATCAAAAAACGACGTCATTTTGTACCTGGAAAATAGAAAAAAAAAATTAAAAAAAGGCCCTGATCTCCTCTCTGTCTCCAACTCGCTCTCTGTGTAGTATGTTGATCCGCCCTCTCCCTCTCTCTGTTTTCTCTCTCTCAATCGGTGCCCACTCTCTCTAGCTCACCGAAGTCCCTTACCACCATTGCTCACGTCTGTCGCACATCGTCATCGCCCTCTGTCTAATGGACTCCTCATTTCTGGGGGGTCCTCACCCAATCTCACTTCATCGCTAACTAGCGTCGCACGCCACTGCTAGCGCCACCGCCACCGCCGCCGCTGCCGCCGCCGCCGCATCCTCACAGGTTCTCTCTCACTCTCGGTCTGTCTGTCTGTTTGTCTGTCTGTCTCTCTCTCTGTTTCTCGCTCTCTTCCTCTCTAGCCTTTGCCCTCGGTTTCTCTCTGTCTCTCTCTATATATATATATATATATAATGCGGTGAATTTTAGTACGGAGAGAGAGATTTGAGCTTTGATTAATGATTTTGAAGAGGTTTGTCATCTTTTTCCTTCTCCAGAACATGATGGATTGATTGCATTTTTGGTCCATTTTTTATTGATCATTGCTTAGAGCGTAGGGTTTTGTGAGTTTTGCTGGATCATGATGAATTGAGAGAGAGAGAGCTCAATCCATGGACCAAAGCAAATGAGAAGTTCCCTTTTCATCCATTTATATCTGGTAACATTCACATCTTTACCCAAATTCTTAATTGTGTTCTGTTGTTGGAGTTTCAATTATTGAATTCATTTGACAAAAAAGCAATTGTGTCCATTGTTCCCAGTTTGAATGTGTTTTTTTTATGTTTTTGGATATGGTGTGAAATGGGTAATTGACAATACAATGGAGGGGATTTGGGTATGTACCAAATGGGGGTGTCATCATGTGCTTCTGTTAGCATATGAACTTCATTTTTGGCCTACCCAACTGGGTTTCTCGAGGGATATTTTGGTAGAACCATGTGGACTTGTTCATGCACTCCATGTGTTTGTTAATTGTTTTGAAAGAGACCCATTTCTTGTTATGTGTCTTGAATAGCCTGTTAGATTGTTGGGAAGAGGATTTAATTGTTTTGGAAGAGACCCATTTCTATGATCTATCATGCTTTATCTTAGTTTTTTATTTCAATAAAGTGGTGGTGTGCTACAGAGATGATTCCAAATACCATATTGCATTTTTCTTTTATCATTTGACATATATCTCATCAACATCTTGTGCTTTTGTGCTTCTTGTTATGGCATCATCAACTGATCTTTGAATTGCATGTTAACTCAAGTAGACCTTATTGTGGAAGTCAGTCGGACACTTTAAGTAGGGGTAAACATAAAATAGCCATCTAACACACTATACTTTGTTCAAGTGATAATGCAGAGAACAGAGGAATCTAGAGGATGCACATGCACCAAACATAGAGTTTTTCATGTCATCCTCCAATAGAAAGCATAACAAATGCCCAAGGCTCCAAGAACAACAGTGTTGTTCGCCTTTTTCTACTACCTAAGGTTATTTATTATTTATAGTTTAGAAGTTTTTTTTTTTTTTTTTTAATCTAGAAGTTCATTTTCTTTGCTTAATGTTTGAAAAATTAACATGCAAATTGTCAATTGATCAATGTTGACTAGTTGTGTTTTTTGGAAGATGCAACAATATTGAACTTAACTCACATATATTGTCATGTGTTTCTGCAGTCTAACCAACCACATACCTTTGTTGTTGTTACTCTCGATCCACCTATCCGTAAAGGCCAAACTTTGTACCCACATATTGTCTTGCAGGTATTGTTGGTTGTGTTTCATTAAGATCACCATTTAAGCTTTCTTAGAGATCATGTGTCCATGTGATGATTTATATTGTACCCTACCATCTTTATGCAGTTTGAAACAGACTATGTGGTTGAAAGCACCCTGTCAATGACTGAAGATCTTTTGAATAGCAAATACAAGGACAAGTTAGAACCATCATATAAGATATAGTGGTGATGTTGTTTCATCTTTTGATGCCATTCCTAATGCACCATTTTCTACATGTTCAAAAGACAATCTGTTGCCTTTTTTCTTACTTTTTTTTTCCTTTTTTGTGTGTGTGTGTGTAATAAATTACACAATTTTGCTTATATTGTGATAGCAATATATATATATATATATATAACTAAATCTACTCGCTTTGGTATGATTTTCTTTTCTCTAATACATTAGGGCCTGATTCATGAAGTATTCATTTTGATAATGCGTGGCTTGTCTGGTGCCAAAGTCACTAGACCTGGGAAGTTCCGTAGCTGTCAAGATGGTTATGCTGTTAAGTTTTCATTGAAAGCTGAAGATGGTGTCCTGTATCCACTTGAAAAGGGATTCTTCTTTTTACCCAAGCCTCCAACTCTTATTCTTCATGAAGAGGTAACTTTCTGGCCATACAAATGCTTTAACCCTGTGGTTTACTGGTAGGTGATAGCTATATTATTTTGAATTATATCCGGTTTGGGGTTTACTTTTCAAAATAAAATATGCTTGGTTTGGGGTGGATTGATTTGTTGAACTTGCGTATCTTATTTCAGATTGACTATGTGGAGTTTGAAAGGCATGCTGCTGGAGGCGCAAATATGCATTACTTTGATCTTCTTTTCAGATTGAAGATTGAGCAAGAACATCTTTGAAGGAACATTCAGAGGAATGAATATGACAATCTTTTTGACTTTATCAGGTTGCTATATGCTTCTCATGTTCTGTTATGGAGAGTTGGAAGTTACTGCAAAATGTTCTGATAATTTGATAGGCATGCTCTGATAATTTGATAGTACTACAAAATGTTATATTTCTTTCCTCAAATTATTTAGGCCATATGTATTATTTGGGCTTCCTATAAAATCCTAATATCTGCACCTTTCAAGCACAAATGCTCCCACACTCTCTGACTTCTCCGGGTGAACGTACTTACTCCCCCTTCATGCTTGCAAAAGATGAGAAAAAATTGAGCATGGAACCATTTTTTGGTCCTTTAAATCTTGCATCAGAAACTTCAATCTTTTAATTCATATCATCATGTTTCCATTCCAGAAAATTTCTGCTGAACTCTGCATGTACTGAATCTTCTAGTATGGCTTACATTTTATTGTGCATTTGCATGCTTTGGCCTATATTTCAATTATTTCATTTTGTATTCTATAGGTCTCTGTCTTTCAACAGATTCAGTGGACCAATTCCACCTTCAATGGGTAATCTCTTTAATCTTTATTGGTTGAATCTGACTGGCAATAACCTTTCTGGAACCATCCCTGTCTCTAATGGGAGCACACCCGGTCTGGATAAGCTGGTTAAAGCAAAGCACTTGTATGTTTGATCAAACACACAATGGAATTGTCTATAAACAGGATGGACTAAGCAATGAGATTGCACAATCTATGCAACCTGAAATCATTCACATTTCACACTATGATAGAATCAAAACAATCTGGTATTCAGGGCAATGAAAAGGTAATGGTACCTTTTGTTCTGTTTTGTTCTGACAATTATATATCATAGTTTGAGTGAGATATAGTTAATGAATATGTATCACCTATTTTGTGTCTTAGATTGGATCCTGATGTTACAATTTCCAAATTGATTTTTGGCTAGCTTGCTAAAATTTCTTAGTTTTAGGAACCTTTGTATGAATTTGGATCTGGGATGAACTTTTCAATTTCATTTTGTGTGTTTTCAAAGTTGTGTTTACTTATGTATATTCTGTATGTTATCTCTCTCTCTCTCTCTCTCTCTCTCTCTTCTTCTTCTTCTTCTTCTTCTTTTCATTGGTTCTTGGCAATCTAATCTTTTCTTTTCTTCCACCCACACGTGGTGTTCTTTTCTTGCAGAAAATGGAGATGAACAAACTTCGTGATGAATTGAATGAGAAAATATCAGAAGTAAGACGATTACAAATAGAATTGACTAGAAGGGAGAATGCAGAAACAGATGACATTGCAGATGGTTTAAAAAGAGTGATTGCAACCTTGGAGAAGGAGAACAATAATCTTAAGGTTTATACTTATCATTATTATATATTTGCTAGTATGTTGCACATGTGTTCTAAAATTAATAGGCTTCTATTTTTGGATACTAGATTTATAAAGCTCTATTACAATATTAGCAA